AATAATAATAATAATAATAATAATAATAATAATAATAATAATAATATAAAATATATAAAATGTATAAAATATATAAAATATATAATAATATAATCGCTCAGACTGACTACAAACAACATCACAACACAGTAGCTCAGATGGTCCACTGGAACCTGTGTCACAACTACCATCTACCTGTAGCAAAGAACTGGTAGGATCATAAGCCTGAAAAAGTGGTCAAAAATGAGCATGCAAAACTACTGTGGGACTTCCGAATACAGACTGATAAAGTTTTGGAACACAACACCCCAGATATCACAATTGTGGAGAAGAGAAAAGTGTGGATCGTCGACATTGCCATACCTGGTGACAGCAGAATCGACGAGAAACAACTTGAAAAAAATCACCAGATATCAGGACTTGAGAATTGATCTGCAGAGACTCTGGCATAAACCCGTACAGGTGGTTCCATTGGTACTCGGCACACTGGGTGCTGTGCCTAAAGACCTAGGCAAGCACTTGAAAACAATTGGCGCTGACAAAATCACCCTTGGTCAGCTGCAGAAGGCCACCGCCGATACATCACACAGTTTTAAATGCTTGGGAAGTGTTCGACTAGTGATTTGTGATATGAAACCCAGCATAGTTATCTCGTTTGCTGTGTACACTGTTGTTTTTTGTGTATAATAATAATAGAAAGAACAATAACAACAACAAGATGGTGGCCTTGGTTTGATTGGTTGACTCCAGGAAGCCATAGGTTTATATCAGGGTATTAATAAATTGACAGTTTGATTTTCAGTCCCTTCCTAATTATTCCTATCATAGAATTGACTTGTTTTACAAAATTAACACACACTGGTGTTTAGAAAACTGAGAGTGTGCTGACAAGGAGGGAAAGTTAAATATATAGCAATTGTTGAAGTTCAGCCATGTGCTAACCATTAATAATAACAATCCTAATAAATAATCACCTAATAAAACTGATGTTCTATCATTCTGACATAGAACTCACTACCCCCATATTCATTTATATTAAAGCCAGTCAAATCTTTGGCAGAAAGGTTTTTTTTTTAGAATAATCTGCTACCAAAAATGAAACATCTGTTCTTTATTATCTCTCACTTGTCCTCTTTACAAAGTAATATTTCTCCACAGTGCACATTATCAGCATTTCTTGAGCCAGTCATGTTTTCGATAAGTGACATCTTTACAATAATTGCAATAATGGTTCCCTAATTAATTCACCCTGCCAGACTGATGCATGACAGAAGAACAATAGGGAGTACTTGTGTGTGAAATTTCACACAAATTTGGAAGCAGCAAGCTGACAAAATCATTAAGGCCCCTGGGCTGGCTGGACCTGAGACAACACACAACCAATGTTTGTGTTGGCTGCTGGAGTTCCATGCCAAGGGTGTTTTGTTGGTCCTGTTATTTAGGAACGGTCTTATTCTTATGCTAAAGCAAACAAGCAATGATTGTGATATTTGCATTGGAGAAGTTACATTAACCATATTTTATATGCCACTGACTGATCCAAGCAACTGTTATATTGCCTAAATTGCTCCCGTAGCTAGTCAAATGGGTTTACTTGCCTACTAGCTGGTCACATTTGATGATTACATTTCAAAACACACACCTATGCTTACATGTAAGAACAGACATTTTGTACAGACAAAAGGCTGCTGTTGTTGGGCACTAAATATATTCATTTAACAGACTAACAGAATAACAGAGTTGGAAGGGACCTTTGAGGTCTTCTAGTCCAATCCCCTGCTCAGGCAGAAAACCCTATACCATACCAGACAAATGGTTGTCCAATCTCATCTTAAAAACAATCATTGTTGGAGCACCCACAAAGTCATTCGACTGATAGTTCTAACTGTCAGAAAATTTCTCCTTTGTTCCAGGTTGCTTCTCTCCTTGATTTAGTTTGCATCCATTGCTTCTTGTCTTGCCTTCAGGTACTTTGGAGAATAGCCTGACTCTCTCTTCTTTGTGACAGCCCTCCAAATACTGGAACACTGCTCTCATGTCTCCCCTAGTCCTTCTTTTCACTAGACAAGACATACTCAATTCCTGCAACCATTTTTCATATGTTTCAGCCTCCAGCCCCCTAATCATCTTTGTTGGTCTTCTTTGCACTCTTTCTAGAGTTTCAGCATATATTTTTCTGTTGTGGCAACCAAATCTGGATGTAATATTTCTGTATTAACACTTCACATGATCTGGATTCTATCCCTCTGTTAATGCAGCCTATGATTGTGTTGGCTTTTTTGGCTGCTGCAGCACACTGCTGGCTCATATTTAAGTGCCAGCAGTGTACTGCAACTGCCAATTTCATCAATGTAGCAATTGATGAGTTGCTTTACACAACCATCTCTCTTTCTCTCTGTGTCTCTTTTCCCACATGTAAGTGCAAGCACACAAACTGACATATTTTTTTGCATTTCTTGATTTCTTTGTCGGTGGTTAACCGCTTCTTTTTGCTTGCTTTATTGGCACCTGAGGTGTCTGCAAAAGAAGTTAAAGTGGCCCCCGGACCCTTAGAATTGAAACCTAGGGCTCTTTTTAACTGCGTTTGGAGGGCTTCAATCACTATATGTGAGTTCCATTTTGATGTTTATTAACACCCCAAGCAGATGCCCTGGTTCTACTCACACAGATGCCTGGTACAAAACCGAAACAGAGAAACCAGACTGATTCATCATCTCATCTCTTGGTAAAAAAAGAATATCTCTTTAAATAGCCCTTGAATAAGAAGAGAAAGTTGGTGGCATCCTCAGCACAGGATCCTGCTGTTCCAGCCCTTGGAAGGGATGCCACGGTCAAGGCAGAGTGGAAGTGACTGACTTCAATCTCACTGCACAATCCTCTCACCAGCACTCTGAAGCCCTCACAGCTCCTGGTGCTTCCATGAAAACATAAGGAAAGCCTCAGGCGGGAACTCATAAAGCATAGACTTATGGGGCTGGAAAGAACCTCCGAGAGCTTCTAGTCCAGCCCCCTGCTCAAAGCAGAAGACCTTATACCATCTCGGTCAATGGTTGTCCAGTCTATTTTTGAAATTTTCCAGCGATGGAGCACTCACAACTCCAGGAGGCAAGCTATTCCATTGATTAATTGTTTTCACTATCAGAAAATTTCTCCTTACTTCTAGGTTGGATCTCTCTTTAATGATCTTCCACCCATTACATCTTCTCCTGCCCTTTAGTTCTTTGGAGAGTAAGTCCCTTTTCTCTGTAATACCCCTTCCAGTATTGGAAGACAGTTATCACGTTCCCCCTTAATCCTTTCTAAGATCTTTCCAGAAGTGGTTCTACTGTCTCTACTGAAAGGAATTCTGCCTTTGAGGAGTAGTTGGAGATTTCCTTTTGCAGAAACCGTCCATACAATCTGTCTATATGCACATTTGGTGGAAAATTCTGAAAGGTCCAGAATGGACTTGCTGATGTGAGGAACTTTCTGCTTCCAACTCACACTATTTCTGCTATTCCCATCACAGATGGTCCTTCAAATGCCCCTTTTTCCTGTGATAGCATCATAGGCTATCAACAGGATGCTATTTTTGCAGTGATCTGACAGTTCTCAATTTTGTTGATGATCCAGCCTGGCGCTAGAATAGTAATGGTAGGAGTGGCAATTGTGGTAGAAACAGTGATAGAAGTTATGTTCTTATAGTACCAACCATAAGAGCATCAACCTTGAATATTAGTTCTCAGTCCATAGGCCAACTCAATATGCGGCCCTTCTGCTTCACACTTTGTCTGTCCTTGCACCCAAGAAGAAATGGAAGAAGCTAGAGACTTACCGAGGACAACAAATTGGATGGTGAGATTTTTATAGAGGCCATGCTTCGGGCTCCTCAAATGCAGTGTAAAGTTCCCAGCATGCTTCGGTCTCACATCCCTGATGATTATCCTGTACCTCTCCGAATCTAAGTCATAGCAGTCATTGCCTTTGATCAGTTGGCCATCTTTGTACCTTTTGGTCCAGAAAAAATGGGAATGAAAAACAGCTGAGACAAAGGGATAGAGGGCATCACATTTCAGAGCAAATTTAATTTTTAAATTTTAATTTAGAGTTAGATATTCTGGATGTTCAGGCCAGTTCAGGCCTCTCTGCCCAAGTGGAATGTTCCCCACTCATCCATCAATTGGATTGGCTCCACAGTATAATTTTCAGTACAGGTAGTCCTTGACGTACAATGATTTGTTTAGTGACGGTACAAAGTTACAACAGCATTGAAAAAGTGACTTATGACCATTTTTCACATTTATGACCTTTGCCACTTCCTCGTGGTCACATGATCAAAATTTGGATGCTTGGCAACTGATTCACATTTATGACAGTTGCAATGAATTAAGAGTTAAACTACCATGTTATTTGCAATGCAGGGATGGATAGGGAAGAGAAACCGATCAACGTTACAGCTTAAGCCATTTTTCTTTCTGCTCCTGTTGGCAGGGATTGAAAACTGTGCTGGCCATTTAGGGGAAAGGAGGTTTTTAAAAGCTGCTTTTCCATCCTTGGAGTTAGAGAGTTGGAGAGGGGAGGCAATGATTAGTGTCAGTTGCAGGATTTGGAAGACATTCCCATTTTGTGGGTCTGGCGCAGGCATGGGAGAGCCACGGAATGTCTTCCTGAAAATCCTACGCCTGGTTCCTCGGTCACTTTCTCTGTTGGTTCTATCAAATTCAGAACTCTGTTCTTAGGGAGATAAGGCCTAGAGTTTGGATATAGAAAAGCAGAGTTGGAAGGGACCTTGGAGGTCTTCTAGTCCAATCCCCTGCTCAAGTAGGAAACCCTATACCATTTTAGACAAGTGGCTATCCAGTCTTTTCTTAAGAGCCTCCAGTGATGGAGGCACCCATGATTTTTGGAGACAAGCTGTTCCACTGGTTAATTGTTCTCACTGTCAAAAATTCCTCCTTAGTTCTAGGTGGCTTCTCTCCTTGATTAGTTTATTTTCATTATTTCTTGTCTTGCCTTCTGGTACGTTGGAAGAAAACCCTCTTCTTTGTGGCAGCGATGGTATCATGTCTCCCCTTTCCACTAGACTAGACATACCCAATTCCTGCAATCATTCTTCATATGTTTTAGCCTCCAGTCCCCTAATCATCTTTGTTGCTCTTCTCTGCACTCTTTCTAGAGTCTCTACGTTTTTCTTATAATATGGTGGCTGAAACTGGATGCAATATTCCAAGTGTGAAGGCATTGCAAATGGTGTCTTTGCAGTTATTTCTTTACATCTCGGTAGTCTTATGATAGTCCTATGCTTATCACCACAATTGGAACCAGGATTTTCTTTGTTAAGCAAGGCGGTTTTTAAGAGACTCACGCGGTCATTAAGCAAATCTGGCTTCCCCCAATGACTTTCCTTGACTTTGCTGGAGGTCGACAAATGACCCTGGATTGCTGCAAACATTGTAAACACATGCCAGTTGACAAAAGCCAACATTTTGATCACATGACTGTGGGGATGCTGTGATGGTCATAAGTGTGAGAATTCGCCATAAGCCAATTTCTTCACTACCACTGTAACTTTGAACCATCATTATTGAACAATTGTAAGTTGAGGACAACCTATACATAAAATGGCTAACAGATTGAATGAAAAGCTACAGTTGTAAAAAGTGACTATAGAAGATGAGTTCCTGGAAACTGTTTTCTAAGTAGCGAAGAGTTCGCGCAGAAATAGCTCAGTCTGCCAAACCGATTTCTTCCAGGCTGTGGCCCTGCACATTTCATGTGATGGAAAAGAAACTGCTTTTAAAATGTTTTGCAAAGGAGAAGAACATTTTGTGAAATGGCTGAGATGAGTCATTGGCTACTTGCGCTGAACATAGTGCTAAGCGATCTAAGACAAAAGAGGTTGCATGCATATCCTGTCTTGTACTGATTTATAACCTGCAGGTTTATTGATTTATTTGTATCCCACCTTTCCCTGTTCCATTCCAAGGAAAATCCTCCAGAAGAACCATCTTAAGTCAGGAAGCAAATACAGCCAGAGAGAAAGGACTGTAAAAGAATAGCACGGAAACAGAAGGAAAGCAACAAATAACCTCATGAACTTGATCCTCATGAAACAACAAAGTAAACTCAAGAACAAACAAATCCTCTGGCATCCCAAATGAGTTAAGAGAAAGAAAAGCTTGTCTTGTCTTGGCAAATAGATAGATTTCGATATGAAGATACACAAGGAGAGGCCTTATTGAATGCCATGGGTTATTGTTAAGTGTTGGGCTTGGACCAAGAAAATCCAGATTGAAACCTTTATTCAATTATTAGCCCTCCCAGGGCAACTCTCCTCATAGATCAAATTATTTATTTATTTTATTTTAATTTATTTATTTTGTCAAGTGATTATAAGACAACAGGTATATGTATAAACATAGTTATGAATACATGAAATAGATACATATAAGAAAAATAAAAGAAACAATAGGACAGGGACGGTAGGCACGTTGGTGCGCTTATGCACGCCCCCTACAGACCTCTTAGGAAAGGGGTGAGGTCAATAGTAGACAGTCTAAGGTTAAAGTTTTTGGGGTTTGGGGAAGAAACCACAGAGTCAGGTAGAATATTCCAGACATTGACCACTCTGCTGCTGAAGTTGTATTTCCTGCAATCAAGTTTGGTGTGGTTAACCTTGAGTTTGTATCTATTGTTTGCTCTTGTATTGTTATGATCGAAGCTGAAGTATTCATTTGCAGGTAGGACATTGCAATGTATGATTTTATATACTATACTTAGATCGGACTGAAGGCGGCGTAGTTCTTGGTTTTCTAGGTCTAGAATTTCAAGTCTGGTGGCATAAGGTATTCTGCAATGAGTAGAGGAGTGGAGAACTCTTCTTGTGAAATATTTCTGGACTTTCTCAGCTGTGTTAATATCAGATACGTAATACGGGTTCCAGACTGATGAGCTGTATTCAAGTATTGGTCTAGCAAATGTTTTGTATGCTCTAGTTAGTAGTGTGATATTACCAGAGAAAAAGCTACATAGGATTAGGTTAACATCTCTTAATGCTTTTTTGGCTATGTAGTTACAATAGGCTCTAGCACTAATTAGAGGAAATTATGTACAAATGATGAAAAAAGAAAGAAAGAAGGAAATAAAGAAAGAAAGGAAGGAAGGAAGGAAGGAAGAAGAGAAGGAAAAGGAGAAGAAGAAGAGGAGGAGGAGGAGGGAAAGGGAAAGAAGGAGGAGGAGGAGAAGAGGAGGAGAAGAAGAAGAGGAAGGAGGAGGGGGAGGGGAAGGAAGAAGAGGAGGTGAAGAAGAAGAAGAAGAAGAAGAAGAAGAAGAAGAAGAAGAAGAAGAAGAAGAAGAAGAACAACAACAACAACAACAACAACAACAACAACAACAACAATAAAACAAGGAGGAGGAGGAGGAGGAGGAGGAGGAGGAGGAGGAGGAGGAGGAGGAGGAGTCCTTACCAAGCCACATCTGGAGGAGGGAAAGCATCAACCTTCCAAGCCAGCTTCTGTACTTTTTGTCCTGCATGGGCCTCATAATACAGTTGTTGCCTCTTTTTGACAAAATTAATGAAAGCTTGTTCTTCAATAAATGAGAAAAAGAATAGAGTTAATTCCTTTTCAAAACCATCAGATTTTTTTTTTTTTGCTGGACATCAAAATAACACATGTAAAAGAACAAATCAGAAAAGAAGACAACCAGGCAGATGTGAAATGGGAAAAACAAGAAACTGACTGGCCATGGTTACAGATTTAAAGCATGTGGTATTTATTTTGCATATGTGCAGTGAAATTTTATTAATTTGAGTCTGAGGTATGGTTTGATCTGAAGACAATTGTGAAGAAGATCCAATGTATGAAAGCAACAGGGACATTTTGGAAACATCCATTCTAAAGTGAAGGCAATAATAATATACAGGCACTATCTTTTCTGGACAGTATTTCTTTTATCCCTTGAATTAATGGGTTTTTTCATAGCACACAATCCATTTTTTCCTGACCCACAATTGGGTAATTATTAAAATATATCAGCAACACACAGCAGCAGATGGTCCATGACCAGGAAGTGTGATTTCTGTTTGACTTCAGCTGTGAACATGATATTTTTCAAAATGACAAGACATTATGAAACATTTCTGGAATTTCTTGAAGATATTACAAGAATGAAAAGGTCTATCATTCCTTGGGTGATCTGGTACTCGTAGTCCTCAACTTACGACAGTTCATTTGGAGACTGTTCAAAGTTACAACAGCCCTGAAAAAAGGGACTAATGATCATTGTTCATATTTATGACCGCTGCAGCAATGCCATGGTCATGAGATCAAAATTCAGACCCTTGGCCACTGATTCATATTAACAACCATGTTGCTAACTTAACAACTGCAATGCTTCATTTAACAACTGTAGTAAGAAAGGTCATAAAAGGAGGCAAAACTCACTTAACAAATGTCTCAATTAGCAACAGAAATTTTGTACTCAATTGCGGTCGTAAGTCAAGGACCACCTGTACTTTCAAGTCATACATAGGTGTAACTTTGGAATATTGTGCGATATTTTCCCTGGATGGACCCCCTGACTAGATTAGGGTCTAAAACTGACGATACCATGATGAATGGCGACGCTAAACCACAGAGAAAGTGATATAAGCCAGAGTTTCTCCACCTTGGTAACTTTAAGGTGTATGGACTTCAACTCCCAGAATTCCCCAGGCAGCTCTGTTGGTTGAGGAATTCTGGGAGTTGCAGTCCATACACCTTAAAGTTGCCCAGGTTGAGAAACACTTATATCAGCAATTAAGAAGTTGATGGAACAGAGGACACCACTTATTTTTATCCATCAACGTTGACAATATTTGTTAAAAAATAATAATAAACACCTCTCAACATCAAGCAAACAACTTCAGGGTAAGTTAACTGAGTTGAGGAAGTTGGAAATGCTGAATCTGCTGCCTCTGGTGAAGAATGAGTATTTTAAGTCATCACTGAGTTGAAAGGATTGGGAAGGGAGCTATGTTGGTTTTGCCAGGGTCTTATCAGCAAGGAAGGGTCTCCTAAAACAGTGGTACCAGCAGCCTATCAATATACCAGCTTGCAGAAAAATGGCATGTTCTGACTGCATCTCTTTTGACATCTTGGTTTTCCCATTTTTGTGGTCATTCTTACTGAATATTGTGACCGTAGTATTGACTTCTATGCCTCCTTTGCCCATATTGAACACTTTGCAGATGTAATGCCCTTTGTCTTCCATTGTGACATTCGTGATAGTCACATTGCTAGAGCTTTCATAGAAATCCTGGTCAAACGTCTTTCCTGTCCTTAGTTCCTAGAAAAGAACAAGAGAGAGGCATAGAAAAATGTCCACCAAACTCAGTTTAAAAGGATCTCAAAAACAAAGCTATAAAGGGGAGTATCATGGTATCTTTTGCTACATGTGTGCATGGTAGGATTGATGGGAGTAGACTTCAAGAGCTGCGGTGGTGTAGTGGTTATATTGCAGTATTGAAGACTAACTGTGCCCACTGCCAGCAGTTCGATCCTGACCAGCTCAAGGTTAACTCAGCCTTCCATCCTTCTGAGGTTAGTAAAATGAAGACCTAGTTTGCTGAAGGCAATGCTGACTCTGTAAACAGTAATGAAGCGGTATATAAGTGCTAGTGCTAGTGCTAGCTAAGAGTTTTAGAAAGTGACTAGGGATTTCCTTCTTTCTGTTTTAAGGTTTAAAAGACTGTACTGTACCACCAGGTATTTCAAGGAGTAATTTCCTTGTCTGGTTTCAAAAAGAGATCCAATCCTTTAAAGTGTTTTTCTATCTTTTAAACATATTTATGTAGGGGTTATTAATCATTCTTTCCATGCTTATTTATATGGACCCAAGAATTTTCAATAGACCTGCCCTGATGTTGAAGTAGTCCTCAACTTACAACAGTTCATTTAGTGACCATTTGAAGTTATAATGAAGTTACAATGGCACTGAAAAAAGTGACATGATCGTTTTTCACAATGGTTATTTTTGACCATTGCAGCATCCCCATGGCCACGTGATCAAAATTCAGAAAACTTGGCAATTGGTTCATATTTATGATGGTTGCATCTCCTGGGGTCATGTGATCACCTTTTGCAACCTTCTTACAATAAAACTCAATGAAGAAGCTGGATTCACTTAACAACTGTGTTGCTAACTTAATAACTGCAGTGATTCACTTAACAACTCTGGCAAGGGTGGTCATAAACCCTTGGACAACAAAGGGGTAAAACTCACTTCAAAAATGTCACAAATCTGGTGCTCAGTCGTGCTCATAATTCAAGGGCTACCTATAGTGAAAGCCCCTTGGTCAACAAAGGACAGTTGAATAGTTATTTAAGAAAGCTAACCAACGTTCAGCAGATTCATTTTGGGAGAACCAAGGAAACAGATCTTCAGAAAAGAGAAAACACACTTGGAGCAGGCCAAGGTCTTCCGTCAACTAAGAGACTCACCCTGTCTCCTGGAAATTTCCAATGAAATTGTAACCGTCCATTCCAGTACATCTGCCCTTTACATTCCAAACGAAGGGTTTCTCCAACCAAGAGTTTTTGGGGAGTTGCTTTCAGAACCACGTTCCAAATCCGCATCTCTAAAAGAAATAAGAAAGTCAGTGATCAAGCATCTCCTCCAGCAACATCGAGTATCACATACAGAATCAACATATTTGATGGCCCTTCAGTCGTATCTTTTAATGGAGAGCATCTAACTTTGAGGAGTGTTTATGGAGGCAAACTCATTTGATTTCCATAACTGGAATCAGGCTTAGTGCAGAATATATAGATAGTCCTCGACTTACAACAGTTTGTTTAGTGATCATTTGAAGTTACAATGGCATTGAAGTGACTTATGACCATTTTTCATACTTATAACCATTGCAGCCTCCCCATGGTCAGGTGATTTACATTCAGATGCTTGACAACTGTTTCATATTTATGACAGTTGCAATGCCCTGGGGTCCCTTTTGTGACTTTTTAACAAGCAAACTCAATGGGGGTGGGGGTTGGGTGGGATTCACTTAATAAATGCGACAAGGAAAAAAATGGGGGCAAAACTCGCTTAATAAATGTCTTACCTAGCACCATCAATTTTGGGCTCAATTGTGGTCATAAGTCGAGGACTACTGGTAGTCCAGCTATGGGAAATTATGTCCAAAGAGGACATTTTCAGCACCTGGAGCAAAACCAGTCATCCACTCACCCACTTTTGAAGTCAAGTAACTTGTCTCATATTGGGCCTCGTTGACTGTAGCAACACATTTGATCACTCTATTAAAGAACTCAGTGCAGGGTGAAGTGATTGTGAATCCTTTCTTTGGGTCCCATTCCTTCCTCTCATAGGTGAGAGGATAGGGAGATTGATGCTAAAGAAGAAAAAGCAAATATAAAGATAGTACTTTTTGTCTGAGATAAAACTACTGTCAAGACTTTCACCTACATTCAGCTTTGCTCACAATTTGACAAAGAATAGGCATATGGTGGTTGGAATGCAAGGGTGATGGGAATGGCATCCAAGCATCCTCGGTTCCCATGAGACATTGCTCTCCCCTCAAGGATACCCCGAGCAGATATCCCAGTGTGACCATCTGGTTCCCATAACAAAATGAACAGAAAGAACAGAACAGAACAGAACAGAATAGAATAGAATAGAATTCTTTATTGGTCAAGTGTGATTGGACCCACAAGGAATTTGTCTTGGTGCAAATGCTCCCAGTGTACATAAAAGAAAAGAGACATTTGTCAAGAGTCAAGAATCATCAGGTACAACACTTAATAATAATAGTCATAGGGTACAATAAGCAATCAAATCGATTTGGTGGATGTAATGGACTTTGGGTGGTCTGTGGGGAAAGGAGGAATGAATTATGCATGCTTTTCTGCGGGTAGCTCCAAGTAAGTGCTAACTCATGAATGAAGGCAAATATATGTCTCCCTATTGTCTACTATTGACCTCACCCCTTTCCTAAGAGGTCTGTAGGGGGCGTGCATAAGCGCACCAACGTGCCTACTGTCCCTGTCCTATTGTTTCTTTTATTTTTCTGATATGTATCCACGTATTCATAACTATGTTTATACTTATACCTATTATCTTGTAAGCAATTGACAAATCAAATCAAATAAATAAAATAAAATATGTGTCCCAGGATAATGTTTCAGGATCCAATTTGGCTCGGTCACCAGGACCAGAGGTTTATTCTTCCAAGCTTTTGGACTCATGATGGAGCCCATCCTCATGGAACTTCTCTTTACCAGAATGTCTTCATGAGCTCCAGCATGAATCCAAAAGTTTGGAAGAGTAAACCTCTAGTCCTAATGACCAACCCAGATTGGATCCTACAAGGGTTAGCCATTAGTTGAGAATATTCCTGTACATAGGCATGAGTAGCAATAAATCAGTTTAACTCGACCTTCACATGTGGACCTGGTCCTTTGTGCTTGATACGAGTTCAGTTCTGTTCAGACCCATCTCTTGTCTCTATTTCTTCACTTAAGGAGCAATGAATCACTCATTGTAATTCTCCAATTCAATCACTGTCATCTTCAAATACAACCTCAGAGATTCTGCCTGAGATTCTGGATTAACTCTAGATTGCTGCCAATCAAGTCAAGAACACTGAATTATACTGATTAATGGATCGTATCAGTGGTGGGATTCATTTTTTTGGGTGTGGCTTGGTGGGTGTGGCAGAGGAAGGATACTGAAAAATCTCCAGTCAGAGGTGGCATTTGCCAGTTTTATTTTATTTTATTTATTTATTTTTATTTGTCAATTGCTTACAAAATAATAGGTACAAGTAAAAACATAGTTATGAATACATGGATACATATAAGAAAAATTTAAAAAAATATAAAAGAACTATTCAAAATTTCCGCTACCAGTTCTCCAGAACTGGTCAGAACCTGCTGAATGCCACCTCTGGATCGAATCAGTTGCTCTGTCCAATACACCATAACCATAAACTAACCCAGTGCTTCTCAGCCTTGGCCAGTTTAAGATGGGTGGACTTCAACTGCTAGAATTCCCCAGCCCTACATGTTGCACAAAGCCAACCACATGGCTAGTTTCTGGATCAATATACCCTAACACCTAGAAATTGGGAAGTTAAGTGAGTCATAATTTTCTTAACATGGTTAAGTGCAGTGTTCAGTTATACAGTTATCATAAGCTAGCTTTCTATGATCTGAATTTATATTATTTTATTTTGGGCATCATGTGTTATTTCAAGAGAGAGTTTTAAAGGTATATGTAGTGTAGCTAAGTAAAAAAATAAATTTAAGCAGCCAAGCAATAGTATGATAGTTTTTTTAACAGCAAAAAAGGACAAGAGAAAGAACTTCTGGGTGGGACCTGCATGCTAGATGTCTGAACTATCTTCATCATCCTTATTGATTCTGGTTGGTGGTATGATGAACAGACATTAGTCAGTCTTCAAGTTAATCATGAGAACCTAGCCCCTCTGGTTTGTAAACCATGATTTTTACCTTAGTGCAGGATTCTCCAAACTTCGCAATTTAAGACTTGTAGAGTTCAGCTCCCAGAATTCTGGAAGTTGAAGTCCACAAGTCTTAAAGTTGCCACGTTTGGAAGGCTCTGGCTTTGTGTAACAACTGTTATTTCCTTTTCCAGGATGACCATCTGCCATGAACTACAGCTTGCATGTGTATCTGGACCTTGTACAAGCTTCCCAAGTGCATCTTGCAAAATCTTGCCTACTGTAGAGCGACAAGCATTCTATGTTCCTGGAACAAAAAGCCGAGGTCCTCCTCAACTGTAAGGGCTATCATCGGTCAGTTTCCTGTCCCAGCTGATTTGGGCTGGAACAACAAGGATATCTGGAATCCTGCTATGTCCCTCTGTAGTTTGGTGTGCTTCACTTTCTCACTTCCAGGGTCTTCCTCCATCCTGACTTATCCTTCATGCCCTATTATGAACTTTGTCTCGCGTACCTACAAGGTCCAATCACTGCTACCCCAAAACTATGGATGTCATCATCACTGGCCACTGAGACCTGTTCTTCCAACTTGTGTCCTTCTAATCCCCTGGAAAAGATGACATGGGACAGCGCTTCATGTTAAGCCAAGCTATTCATTCTTCTATGTTGGCTGCAGCTTGAAGAGGACTTTGGATTAAAAGTCGGGGCCTTGAAGCTGCAGAAGAACAACTGAGCAAGCAGTGTAGTCACAAAAGTTTAATTTTTAGTCTTACAAATCTTTTCTCTTCTGGACCATACAATAGTACTATATTTCAAGGGAATAAGGGCGGAACTCCTATTTCTTTCTCTTGTAGGGGGTGGGGATAAGGTGGTGGTCTCTTGCCTTTTATGCAAGTTGACATAGAAACCCATTTGTCTTCTGGGTATTTCTATCTATAGGTGAGGAAAGGAAACTGTTTAGAAGCAACAGTGTGTCTTTCTTGGTTATTGGAGCTCGACTCTTCTCTCTCTCTCTCTCTCTTTTCTCTCTCTCTCTCTCTCTCTCTCCCCCCCCCCTCTCTCTCCCTCCCTCCTCTATTTCTCGTCTGTCTCTTTCTCTCTCACCAGCCAGCTATCTAGTTATGTAGTATTTATTTCTCTATCACTAATATTTGTCTGTCTTTCTCTCTGTCTCTCTCCCCTTCATATTTTTCTTTTGCTATAAAAATATTTTTCCTGCTTTTAGATGGTAATTTCATTGTAAAATGCAAAGAAGAGAAAATTTAATTGGCCTCATCTTCATTTTAGGATGAAGGTTATTCCTAGTTTGCAGTCAAAATGAAGATTTAGTGGATCATGCTAAAAATGATTAGTTAAGGTATCCCAAAGTGGCTGGAGTTGGCAGCATTAAACCGGAACACATTTTTGAAAAGGAAAAAAATCCTATAATCTCATGACTGAAGGAGCCCTTTCTATATGCAACCCATGTAGAAATTGGGGAAGGGCTTTGATATTGTGAGCCTCCTTGATTTTTTTGACTCTCTCCCCATGGATGACCCTGCTCCAATAGATCCCTTCCCTATATTAATAGCATTTTTGGCAAAGTGTCATGGCAGTTTAGGGCAAACTTGAGTGATTCCGAGCAGTCTTAATTTCCTTTCTGAGGTTTTCTCAGCCCCCCTGGGGAGGAGGAACAGCCTACATGGTTTTGTTCTACATTAATTTTAGATACATATTATGTATGTATTGTGTGTCTATTCAAAAGCCTGAATTTCAAGCCCAGCTCTAGCATTAATCAGAATCAGCTGACATAAAGAATGAGCTGCTTTCTAGCATTACCAACCCATCCAATTTCCCATAAATATCTAAGGAGGATAGAGTGCAGTCATTTTAAAGTATAATGGAAACATCAGAATTGTAATTTACAAGGGGCAAACTATGTTGTTTCAGAAATTGTGAAACTGAATGGTGCTGAATATTAAAACTCTGCATTTGAGGATCTCCTGATGATCAGATTTAAAATATATATGTACAGAAATATTGCATATATATATATATGGATAGACATACACCCCCATATTTCACATATTAAATGAAATTGCTTGTGCAATATTCAAAAGTTGTTATGAAAGGAGAAAAGGAGCCGCAGCTGATTTTACCCCAACCTTCAAAAGACCCTGGTGCTATTTTTCCTCCTTCTCTTTCCTGCCGTTTTATCTGTGAGTAGTTATTAAATTTGGAGGAGGATGTTCTAAATTTGTCAAACCGTCAGGCTCCTTCCTTCCCTACCCCCACTTCAGTTTCCTGTGAGTAAAGGAAGCCGCCAACCCGGCTCCACACGTAGTATTTCCAGACAAGGCCAAAATAACAAGCCAGCTTTCCTTAAATGGGAACAGAAAGATGGGCGCCCAAGGTAAACACACCTCTACCGAAAGCCTTATCCGCTTTTCTGGAGATGTCTCTCAAGCCAGCAGAAGAGACCCCTTCCTTTTGGCATCTGAATGTCAGCCCCCACCCCACCCCTTCTGTCTCTTTCAAAGGAGGAAGAACAGTCTTTGGCCCAGACGTCCCAGCAGCCTAAAATGGAAATATCTACCCATCCTTCTGAAGGTCTAGGACAAGGTCCCAGTTCAAGACTGAGCAACAAATGAAAAAGGTTTGACTCGGTTCCAAAGATGGGGAAGATCAGAAACCAGGCTTCTGAACTCCTTGCCCTTTCCTCAAGGAGATGTTATCTTCAGGTTTCAGAGTGGCTGCTAAGCTGGTATTAATTCTCCATTTATTTTGACAAAAGTCAATAGAGATGTTAAGCCAACACTTTCAGGAAGCCAAAGCTCTTGCTACACCAGCCAAGAAGGGGAGAGAAGAAAAAAGTCAAGAATGGGTTTAATTTCAAGATTATGAAAATGTGTGTACTTCTGTGTGTGTGTGTGTTTTGAACTGAGTACTTTGTGAAGGAAAATTGCTCTCTTTGTAAGAAAGTACTGTTTCATTAAAATTAAAGAAGTTTCTCATTCTTGCCAATTTTTATTACTTTGGTAGCTACCAAATATTATGAGTAAAATGCCGCTACTGTTAACCATCAAAGATTACCAGCTCCCATTGCCTGTTTAGTTATACAGAGCATCAAACACCACCCCACAACAACTCTAAAACCCATGGTAAATACCAACAATCAAACACAGATGAAATGGCCATTATTAGTCTGTATTCAAGACTTTGAGATTGGCTGAAGATCATTCTATATAAAAAACAGTTTTTAAGAAGCAAGGGGTGACTTCTGGAAAAAAATTGCCTCATAAGAAGAGTATGAAGCAACTTAATACACATAATTATACTCTTTGAAGTACAGTGGTATTCTGCTTATTTGTCAGCTTCTTTACTCCACAGAAAGAGTGACTGTGAGTTAAATCTACATGATAGCAAACTCAGCTATGGTAGGACAAATTTTATGGTGGTCTTCCTAAAGCTGTTTCATAGCTGGAGGCAGAGAAAGTGCTAGTGCTGTACAGCAGTATTTTTTGGTATGTATATCTGCTTCACTTTAAAACTTCCAAGGCTGCCCATGTATCTAATCTGAGAAAGCCTCATGAGGGCTTCTCTTGAGGTTGGAGGAAAGTGGGGGAAACCAGGGAGGCTGTAGGCCACTGAGAGGACAATAGTACAACAAAAGGCACAACACACACACAATCCTTAGAATCGTAGGGCTGGAAGGAACCTTAGAGGTCTTCTAGTCCAACTCCCTGCCCAAGGCAGGAGTCCTATCCCAGAAAAATGGTTGTCCAATCTTTTCTTAAAAACCTCCAGTGATGGAGTCCACAAGGAGGCAAGCTTCTTGGACTTCCAGTTGTTCTTCTGTCATGGTCGAAGCAGAATCTGTGATCGTGCATGGTTTCACTTCAAGCTCTCTTGTTGGAGAGTTGAGGAGATAACAAAACCACCCTGGAGGGGTGGTGAAGAAAGGGGGAATCAGTTGGAGAGTTGAGGGGATCTCCCCTCCCTGACAAGAAAACCCCCCTCCAAAGACAAGTTGCAGAGGTGGTCAGAAATGAAAACAGGAAGCAGTCCAGGAAATAAGACTGTGCTGGAGAGGTGAAGTTGTGAGTGGAGTGTGAACCAGGCTAAACATTTGGATATTAAGGTATCCCAGAATTAAGAAATAAAGGAACTTTTTGGATCAAAGTGTGTAGAAGCGGCGACCAGAGAGAGAAAGAAGGAAATTGGAACTCATAAAACTGGCTTTGAATGTTGAAAAGAATTAATTTGGAAGTGAAAATTTAGAGGAAAATATTTGATCACAAAAGGCTTGGAAATTAAATTGGATAATTATTGGATTTTTGGCACTAAATAGGCATAAGTAAATGCTGGAATTGAATGTCAGGAAAAGATATAATAGCTAATAACTGGAATAGTGAAATTAATAAAAGTTTTATTTAAAAAAAGAAGGAAGAAGTGAAAGAAAAGGTGAAACGTGGAAATAGAATTAAGAGCACCAACTAATGGCACAGGAAAAATTTCAGTGACTTTTAAAAGTGTTTAGTTTTTTTGAAATTGACTTGGAACTTAAAAGAAAATAAGAGGAACTTCATTATAATAAAATTAAAACCCTGAAAAGTGGAACAATGGAATACTACAAAGGGTAAGACTTTTGAAGAAATTGCTTTGGAACTACTTGGTGACATTGGAAAAAAGCTGGGAAAGAAACCAATCAAACACTCATGGACATTGATTGTTGAAATTAAATATAAAAAATGCTGGTTGAAATAATTTACTGGACATTTGGACTGGATATAATTATTAAGGAATGGGAAAAAGGAGCATCCTAAAAAATGGAAGAATTATTCGTGGAAATGAGACTGGATTTACAAGATATGAAAGAAATGATGAAAGCAAATCTGGAAAAGTGCAGTGATATATTACAAAAATTAGAAATGGCGATTCAGATGGAAGAAGAACGAAGAGAACCAGAGAGGGAGAAATAAAGAGGAAACCAACTTTGAAGATCAAATGGAACAATGAGCATTCAAACGGGGGGAAATTAAAATTAAAAATTTGTGGTTAGAAAGGGGGATTGTGGGACGAAAGGGGGATTGGTTCAGAAATCTAAACAAAGGAAAGGGAAAAAGCAGAAGAGGGAATTACAGAAAAAATATCGAGAGAGGGAGGGGGATAAAATAGATGATTGCAATAAGAAATGGAGGGAAATAATAATGGGGGAAAGGGGAATTAAGACAAAGGACCAGAAAATAAAGAGAAACAGGAAGCAAACAAGAATGAAAAGAAATTACATTGTTAGGAAGATGAGAGACAATGGGTAAAAGAATAATAGGGAAGGAGATTCTGCAAGGTAATGTCTTGTGATATATAAGAATAAGGATTTAAAAATGGATAAGATTGGAACTGATTTTTTTCTTTTTTCTTTTCTTTAAGGATTATTGTAATACCAGATATAAATTTTATTGAAATAGACATTTGATAATCAGCAATGTACAAAATTAAAATAAAATAGTATGATGCAATATTCCAAAGTGTGGCCTCACTGGTGCGGTATTAAGCAGTGCTATTACTTCCCATGATCTTGATGCTATTTCTCTGTTAATACAGTCTTGAACCACATTGACTTTTTTGGCAGCTGCAGCACACTGCTGGCTCATACTTAAGCAGTGTTCCATCTAGATCCATTTCACAGGCATTACTTAGTTGCTTTATAAAGAAGAACTGAAACAATATTATTCTCCACTCTCAAGAATGTCATCCAAATTCTATTCTTTTCCAAAGAAAATTGGAAAGCAGGTTCTATTAAGTGAGAACCAATAGGAAAAAAGGGAGAGAGAAAAATTCCACATGGCATAAAATTAAAGCACCCTCTTCTTAGGGCTAGTGCCCTGTATTACCTTGCCATAAAACAGTTCTGCTTCTCCTTCTGTCTTTCAGCAAGTGCAACTCAGGGAACAAGAATCATATTCTACCTCCTTCTTTTCAAGAGTACCCAGAAAATTTTCAAGAGCACCCAAAGCCATCTTGAAATCCTAATTTGGAGAAATTTTGGATTTCGCTTCAATCAAAATCGTGGTTGAAGACCAGGATTCTGGTTGAGAATAATGGATCATTTCTGAGGTGGATCCTTTCTGGAATAGATTCCAGCAAATGTTCTTCCAGGGTAAAAAAAAGAGCCCAGAATAAAACACAAATAGAAATTGCACTTACCTAAGAAACTCTTCAAGATATGCCCAAAATACTTAATCTTCCTTTTGCTATCATGCTTAAAATGTTTGAAAATTAACAGCTAAAAGGTGCCCATTACTGAGTAAATTAATCCCCATTTGTCCATTTATCAATAGTTACCCTTGAAAGATAACCTATTTGATGAAGGTTGTGAGAAGATTCGGAAATAAACTAAGACAATGTAATGCTTACCAGCAGCAGCTCCGGTTTGATCTCTGGGGAAGTGACACGACATGGCACATTGATAGCTTCTGTATTGTTGTGCACATTGATGAGGACTGGAATTTTTGTGTGGGGTTGCACAAAAGGCTGTGACTGATCTGCAGGGACACAAAAATGGAACATCACAAGTGTGCAGAGAAGCAAGCCTGTTGGGTTGCTTGAAAGAAATTACCTGCTATTCATCCTTAATTTTTACACCCAAAGTAGAATAGATTATGAGATTGTGATTCTGACTGAGATCAGCTGTTGAGGCTTAGTTAATCATTTTGGGGAGAAAACATTGGCAAAGCCAGATTCACTCTTTCTCAACTCAAATATGACACTATATTCTAACATTTACCAGCTGAAAATAGCATCTGAAACCGTGGAAATATCTTATGCTAGGAAATTGATAAATGCAACCAGCTTACAACTTAGGTCTTCAAGGAATGTTACTTTCCTTGCTTATTTCAATTCAATTGTTTATTATAATCATACATAGAAACCATAACAAATAAAAACACTCAGTAAATATACAATTAAAAATTCTAGTATAAAATAATAACAACTAAAATCTATGATAAAATCCAGTCTGTCAATTATACATGGTCTAACTATACTAAAATAACAATCCGTAAAATGTGTGGCCTGTTGTCAGTTTAATACTAAAAGGGAAAGGAATAAGCAGTGCAAAGGATTTGCCACATTTGTTGTATAACGTAACTATAGTGGATTAGACACGTGTTTCCGATGAATCCCCAGGGCTGCTCACAGAATCTGGCCACCTGTGCTGTAGTTATGGACTATTCATCCTTAAGCAGCCACTGGAGATACCTAGCAATTATTGGCAGAATATGTTTTTTCCAAATCTCTCAGGTCTTCAAGGAATGTTACTTTCTTTGCTTATTTCCAATTTTTCTTGGAGAAGAGAAGGACACAATGACCCTTTCTTTGCAGGCACCTGGAACTTTTTCTCAATGTTAAAGAAAAAAAAGCAGTGATGGAACCAGTAGATCAGCACAATAAGACTTGTTTTTCCACATAGGTGTTATTGCAAAGACACAATCATGTTTTCAGCATCTACATTGCTGGACAGTTCCCTGATGCAACTCTACAGACAGCTTTGTCTGTTAGGGCGGAAACTACATTGAGGGGTCCTTGGTGTTCTCTGAGCTTTGATTGTTTTCTTTTTTTATTTATTTATCTTGATTTGTCAATTGCTTACAAGATAATAGGTATAAGTATATACATAGTTATGAATACATGAAATGGGTACTTATAAGAAAAATAAAAGAAACAATAGGACAGGGACGGTAGGCACGTTGGTGTGGTTATGCACGCCCCCTGCAGACCTCTTAGGAAAGAGGTGAGGTCAATAGTAGACAGTCTAAGGTTAAAGTTTTTGGGGTTTGGGGAAGAAACCACAGAGTCAGGTAGAGTATTCCAGACATTGACCACTCTGTTGCTGAAGTCGTATTTCCTGCAATCAAGTTTGGTGCGGTTAACCTTGAGTTTGTATCTATTGTGTGCTCTTGTGTTGTTATAGTTGAAGCTGAAGTATTAATTGACAGGTAAGTCATTGCAATGTATGATTTTGTATACCATACTTAGATCAGACCGAAGACGGCGTAATTCAAGGTTTTCTAGGTCTAGAGTTTCAAGTCTGGTGGCATAAGGTATTCTACAATGAGTAGAGGAGTGGAGAACTCTTCTTGTGAAATATTTCTGGACTTTCTCAACTGTGCTAATATCAGGTACGTAATGTGGGTTCTAGACTGATGAGCTGTATTCTAGTATTGGTCTAGCAAATGTTTTGTATGCTCTAGTTAGTAGTGTGATATTACCAGAGAAAAAGCTATGTAGGATTAGGTTAACAACTCTTAATGCCTTTTTGGCTATGTAGTTACAGTGGGCTCTAGCACTTAGATCATTAGAGATGAGTACTCCAAGGTCCTTTACAGAGCTTGGGTCATCAACAAGGTCTTGACTATTCAGCTTGTATTTTATTTTCTGGTTTGTTTGTTTTTTGCCAATATGTAAGACAGAGCATTTATTTGTTGAGATTTGAAGTTGCCATTTGATTGACCATTCTGATACATAGTCAAGATCTTTTTGAAGGGTAGCAGTATTGTCTGTGGTGTTGAATAGCTTTACATCATCAGCGAAGAGAACGCAGTTGCTCTTAATGTGATCACAGAGGTCTTTTATGTAGAGTATGAAGAGAGTTGGTCCTAGAAGACTGCCTTGGGGGACACCCAGTTATGCAGTTGTCCAGAGATTCTTGCAGATGTTTCATTACCCAAACTAGGTAACATCACCAGATGATATTCCCTAGTGGTAATGAAATGTCTGCAAGGAAACAACCAAGCTCAGAGAGCACCAAGGACCCCTCATTTCCACCCTGAGTTACAAATGGAACACTTTATTTAGCCAAATGTGATTAGACACACAAGGAATTTGTCTCCAATGCAGAAGCTCTCAATGTACATGCAAAGCAAGAGAGTATAATAATCATAATAATGATACTAATAAGAGGGGGGTAGTAGAAAAGATGAGAAGGATAATGGTAGTAGAGTCCTACTACATGGGTAAATATCCTTAGGCATAAGAAAGTTATGTGGGAATTAGGTATTCAGCAGACTGATGGCCCAGGGAAAAAATACTGTCCCTTATTCAGCTATTTTGGCATGCAACGCCCTATAGCAATGCCTCAAGGGGAGGAATTGTGAAGGTTCTGTAGATATTTTCTCAGCCCTCTTTCTGACCCTTGCAGTATACAGGTCCTCAATGGAAGACAGGCTGGTTGCAATTGTTTTTTCTGCAGTCCTAACTATCCATTGAAGTTTGTACCTGCCCTGTTGGGTTGCTGCATCAAACTAGACAGTTATAGAGATACAAAAAACAGAGTCAATAATTTCTTTGTAGAACTGTATCAGCAGCTCCTTGGACAATCTGAGCTTTATGAGTTGATGCAGGAAGAACATTTTTGTTGTGCCTTTTAATGATGGTTCTAATGTTAAGCACTCATTTCAGCTCCTGGGAGATTATAGAACCAGAAACCTGAAGGATTCTATTGCTGATACTGTGCTATATATAGTGTAATACAGTAAGAGGTGGTAGGACAGGAGGGATCTTTCTAAATATTCTTCTTAATTAAAAAAAAAGTACATTCCATCCCAGCTTCTCTCAACTTGTGCCTTCCGGATATGTAGACATCAACTCTCATCAGCCATAGCCAATGCAGCCAAGCTGAGAAATACATGTTGTTGTTATTGTTTTGGTCACAAGGTATTGCATTTCTCGTGGGTGAGGATTGAGAATTACAGTGGGTGGACTGACAAGGACACCCCATTATTGCAACCCCTTCGTTTTTAAAACTGGATTAGCTGACTTAATGGCTTACACAATATCTTACTGTCTCCCTCCTTAAAATGGAGCAATTTTTGGCAATTTCACTAATGAAATTCATTTTTGGAGTCAAAAGAGTTTGCAGAGCTAAAAAAAAAAAAAAGGCAGTCTGTGCTTGGATTGTACTATTCTTCAGTTTGGCTTTCTGCCTAGCAAGATAATCCATTATTACGGGCTGGTAAAGATAGAAACATTTTTGATGGATGTCAATTATTCTAGGCCAGTGTTTCTCAATCTTAGCCATTTTAAGATGAGTGGACTTCAGCTCCCAAAATCCCCCAGCCAGCTATGCTGGGAGTTGACGTCCACCCCATACTGGATGGGGTTTTTTTTTTAAGATTCCACGCATCTTAAAATGCCTAAGCCCTAAGACGTTTGGTTTGGCATTCCCATATGAGACTCCTTATAATTAGCACACAGTGACAATGGTTTTGCTATAGTTTGTACTTTTAAAATTAGTACTTGATGATGGAAGACAGATATCAAACAAACTGGGGAAATCATTGAGGCTGATCAGCATCACAAAAATTATCCTTCTCACCACTTGAGGGTGCAGTTAAGGTGACTTTACAACATTCAAGCATTGTATTTCTCTTGCTAATGGAACTCTACAAATGGTCTGTTCACTTTTACATCCAGGTTAGGGGAAATGGGGTGGGAGAAGACAAAACAGGAGGTCAAAAAGAGGGGGTGTGCCTTCACCTTTATTGTTACTGAAAAAAAGGTGAAGCCATCCCCTCCCCTCTCCTTTTCATTTAATTCATGGGTGCATATCCTACCACTGTATATAATGAGCAAGAAAGGGGAAAAGGGAAAGGAAAAAAGAAAGGGGAAAGGGGAAAAGGGAAAGGAAAAAGGGAAGGAAAGAAAGTGATGTAGGAAGAGGAGGAGAAATACTATGGAGATCTGCATGAAAGAAAGCCGAATTTTGAAAGTTGAATAAACAATGCAGTTTTCACAATTGCCTTCCTTCCTGATGTTGTGGTGCACGTGAAATAATTTGCTTTGTAGGCACTCTGGAGATTGTTCAGAGAAATAAGGTTTAATATTGTTTTTGTGCCCTCAACCTTTAGAGACATTAACAGGAAGGGGTCCACATTGTTGCAAGGCTGAAGGCCCAGGCTGATTTTTACAGATGTAGCCAGTTCTTTAAATTAACTAAGTCTTAAGTCATTGTTTTTAGCTGGAGGTAGAACAGGGCAGGATATCTGAGTGGAAGAAGGAGGAGAGATAAGGAGAGGCAGCTTAATGGTTTCCTGACATTTTTAGCTCAAAATTACCCGCTTGGTGCTGATTTCTCACAGCAACGGGAGAGGGGTGATGAATGGCCAAGGTTTATCAGGACACCACATAAACCAAAGCATAGAAAAGCAAATAATCTGGTTTATTGTCTTCCTTCAGAATAAGTCTCTCATACTCTTTTTTTTCCTATGGGAAGTTTATCGACTCCTTCATGGAATTCACATAATGAGTCACAAAACTGAAATCTTAGTCTAGAAACAAAATCTCTTGCTTCTGGATCTAGAATTGGCTTTAGTTAGTTACTCAAACTGCTGAACTGCAATCTTTCGAAAAGATTATGATGGATCCCAAACAGAAAACAGAATAAGAGATTTGGAAAAGACCTTGGAGGTCTTCTAGTCCAACCCCTTATTCAAGCAGGAGTCCCTAGACCATTCCAGATGGCTGTCCAGTCTCTTCTTAAAAACCT